AGTTAGATTAATGTATCTGTATTAAAATGCTACATGGGAAGGGAGGGAAACGGGTCCACGACGTAGGAAGTGGTGAAGGAAGTAGTAAATGGCCAACAGTGCGGAGTGTGTGAACATTGTATTATGTATTATATCTATAAACATTTTTTCACTTAATTCTTTATTAAAGGCCATGAAACATGATTGCTCCGCTCAACTGGCTTTCATTGCCATGAAAGCAATCCTAGTATAAATTTGAACGGATTGTGTTTTTTTGAAATTTTAGGACCTTAACAAAACAAAAAAGCAAATCGGTCCCGGGATCAGGTCCCTACAGCAATAGCTTATTCCCTAATATGGGAAATTAGCTAAACGAATTGTAAACTGTGATCGATTTCGATTGGACACTCCAATAACCATCAGACCCAATTTTAGCGATTGACGAGAAAAGAACCTCGATGGCAATCAAAACAGCTGTTGGAACACTACTTGTGACGTTGCCACTTCGAAGGCCGCGGCCTGGAGTTAAACAGTCCTTATAGTGGAAGAATATTAGGAAAATCGACCTAATAAATTCGGACTAAGTGGAAACTTTGCACAGTTGTTTAGTAAGCCTAAATAAATAAAATTTCAAAAGTCCCCATAAATCCCTGCTGTGCTTCAGCCGCCATCTTGGAAAATGGCGGCCAATTTTCACTTTTTTGACAATATTTCACAAACTATTGGTATGAGAGAATTTTTGTAAATACAAAAGTTAAAGAACGTCTAAAAATACAGTTTTTATCCTACAAGGTTTGCTCTATCTCTAATGGTTATTGAGATAAATAATAAAAGTTAGTATAAAATAAAAAATTCCTATGTTATTCTTATGAAGGAAAATAAAATTGTTGCAGTTTGCTCATTTATGGATATATTTTTATCAAACTTGGCAAATTTATTTATTTTATACTAAGCTATTAATATTTAACATAAATATACACTTTAGTACCCTCCCTATAGCAGTAAACCTAGTACTCGTTAAATTTAAAGTTATTTAAATAGGGAATCTATCTTACATTTTTAGGATATATTTTTAGTAAATACCAGTCAGGCAAATGGATATTCATTTTTCAATCATATTAACAATCATTTTTCTTATTGGTATTATGATTTAAAGCCCACTTACTTTTTGTCACTATCATGTAACTACTAAAAACTTAAGTGGTACCTACGTTATTACTCCCGGTATAATTTTTTGTCGGTAAATATTAGGAAATTGAACCTTAAAATCCGGACTAAATTGAAATTTTGCACAGTTAAGCACAGTGAGACTAGTTGAAAATTCCGGCTGTGCCTCAGCCACATTAAGTCCGGATTTTAAGGCTGAATTTCCTAATATTTACCGACAAAATAATTATACCGGGAGTAATAAGTAGGCCTACCATGTAAGTAGTTACACAGTAGTGAAAGTATAGTGAGTGAGCTTTAAACTTACTAATATTAATAAGGGAAAACTATTGTTAATATGTCTAAAAAAATAAATTTCCATTTGCCGGACTGGATCATTACTAAAATATATCCTAAAAATGTAAGATAGATTCCCTATTTAAATAACTTTAAATTTAACGAGTACTAGGTTTACTGCTATAGGGAGGGTACTAAAGTGTATATTTATGTTAAATATTAATAGCTTAGAAATATATCCATAAATAAGCAAACTACAACAATTTTATTTTCCTTCATAAGAATAACATGGGAATTTTTTATTTTATACTAACTTTTATTATTTATCTCAATAACCATTAGAGATAGAGCAAACCTTGTAGGATAAAAAAGATGTATTTTAGACGTTCTTTAACTTTTGTATTTACAAAAATTCTCTCATACCAATAGTTTGTGAAATATTGTCAAAAAAGTGAAAATTGGCCGCCATTTTCCAAGATGGCGGCTGAAGCACAGCAGGGATTTATGGGGACTTTTGAGATTTTATTTATTTAGGCTTACTAAACAACTGTGCAAAGTTTCCACTTAGTCCGAATTTGTTAGGTCGAATGGCTTTATTATTCCTAAAATGCTTGGACTATTAGAGCTTAGACGTTCTAACTCGTAAACCAATCCAAAAACTACAAAGAAAATGTCATATCTCACAATGTACTAAATATTTTAATTATAATCACTAATAATTTTCCTCTGGCAACTGTTTGAAATTGTCCAAGATGGCCGCTAGCCTCCAAGGACTCTTAAAGGTGGCCATGTACTCAAGGTGTACCTGAGAGTAACTCAATCTTCGGAGAGGTAAAATATGATTGCAGCGTGAAAATCAATAACGTACTTTTTATGACAATCCCATCATTCAACTTTGAATAGTTCAAAGGATTTTGATAGGTTAATTGTTCTTTACATTCTTTACCATGAGCCTATTGACTCTGTGTACCGGTATGCCAATATTACTTTACTTTACTTCCTTTTAATACTTTCTTATTAATTGCGACCATACAAAGTAGGTATTTTAAGCCAATTCTGAATGGAGATGAATGTAGGATGAGTGGCGCGATCTTGTAGTCGTGTTAGGGACTAAGGCCGACATTCCTTAGACACAGCTGTTATTTAATAGCCCATACAGCTAACCCAAACAGCACACTTTCTCCTCAGGACATCCCACGGATATTGCGACAGGATATGCAAGATATCCCATAGTGGTCCTCTGGTCAACCTGGGATATCCCAGGATATCCACAGGAATGCGTAATGTCCCCGCCCGGGGATGTCCTACGGATAAGCTCACAGCATATCCGTGGGACATCCGAGGTCATCCCAGGGTAGTTCTCTGGACATTCTCAGGACATATGGGACTACTATGGGATGTCCCTGGGATAAAGTGTGGTCTGGGCCTGAACATAAAAAACACAAAATAATATAGATTTAGTATGAAAAGCTTAATTATAAGTTTAGTAAATTGATTAAATAGTTAATAAACACAAATTTTGAAGAAAAAAACGAGAAAAAAGTTTAACAAATTATACTACACCAAAAGCTAGTTTAGAATCTTAGCGTCGGCTGCTAGACTTTTCAAAAATTAAAACTTAATTTCTAAATAACTGGGACCCTAAACTAAATTTATGGCTTCGACATTCCCTAGTTCTCAAAATTATCTTTCTTTCAACACAAAAATCATGAAAATCCGTCGAGTGGTTGATTCAGAATCGTGAAATAAAAAAAACACTGTTTCGTTTTAATATTATAGAGGATATTAAGATGGAAGACAATGCAATTATTTTTATTAATTATACTCTACATTCAATTATACTCTACATAGACTGTAAGCTGGTCTATAAGTGAATAGTATTCACGGTCACCTTTAACTCCAGGCCACGGCCTTCAAAGTGGCAACACCGCAAGTAGTGTTGTATAACAGCTGTTTTGTTTTGAGGCATCTGATGGTATTTATGTATTTTTTAAGAATACGTAAGGTTGTTTACTTGGCTATGAAAATAATTATTGACTCCACTAAATAGATTTTCAATTTAATTTTTTTTTTGTTTTCAATTCTATGTTTTATTTTCAATCTTTTCAAAAATTTATGTTCAAAAAATTAAATTTAAATGAATATGATACACGAATTAATGAGCTGGTGTCACCTGTCTGCTATGTTATCTTATGGTACGTCTGGCGCTAGAAACGCTACCATAGATTAAACATACTCCCTTAGGGAGTAAATGTAATCTATGACGCTACTTGCAACGTTACCAATTCTACCAGCCTACGGCCTGGTCAAATCTCAATCCCCACATCAATATCAATAGCAATATCAATATCAGTTTAAAATATCAATCTCTCACCTGCCTGTGGCTATGGTTCTATGGGTTTCGGCCCGCTTGCTGTGTGCGATCAACATTATGTGGGGCAAATCCTCGACTTTGGAAGTAGCCTTTACTGGAGGTGAAATCGGACAAGTACCCGTAAGTTCACGGGGACACTCAAGGGAACGTAACTTTCCGCAGTGTGAACGGCTGGGCGCACTCCATCAGCCAATCCCTGTCTCTGAGTCCGGAAGGTATGGTTATCTAGAGTGTGGGGGGGGGTTCTCCCTGGAACCTCAGTTGAGTTAAGGGTGTCGCCACCTTTGGTGGATAGGTTCATCCGAGTGGGTCCCACTCCTATACCTGCCTCCTTTTGGGAAACCCTAATGGTCCGCCAGTGATGTTGGGTTATATGGGCAAATGAAGTAGATCGGGTGTTGGAGTCAAGCCTGCTGGGGGTATCTAGGGATCTATCGCCCTGGTTATCCCTGGTTTCCCAGCGAATGGGATGGCCTCGACCGGGTAGTGGTGTAAATAGGGGGTTGGGGTTCCCCCGTCAACCACGTCGCTGACGGTCCCCATCCTCCTGGCTTTGATGGCGGGTTATGGCCTGTCAGGGATTAGATAGGTCCCGAGTGTTGCTTGCACTATGTTGCGTCCAGGGACTCCATCATGGTCTGTTGGGGGTTCGGCCCTGGGGGAACCCAGTTGGAGGGACGTAAGACCAAGTAACCGGTATCCCTGGTTAGGATTGATGGGCAACCCTCTTTCCGAAGGGTTGCTTCGGCAGCCGGTGACCCTGATGACCTTAAGTCATCCGCCCATGGTGTGCCTAAGGTTGGTGTGTATGCTCCGGCACGGCCGCCTTTAACTACAGGCCGCGGCCTGGTAGAATTGGCAACATTGCAAGTGGTGTTGTTCAGTGACAGACGTACCATGAGGTAACATGGCAGACAGGTGACATCAGCTCATTAATTCGCACTTTATTGATTTAATTTTTGACTTATGAACATAAAATTTATTTCAATATTGGAAAAAAAACATACAGAGTTGAAAATTGAAACAATATGGATTAAAATATATATCTGTACATTTTTAAGCGGAGTCAATATAGTTATAGTCCAGTAGACTATGAGGGACTTTTCATGTTTATGAGTTAAGTGATGTGGTAATACTGAAAAACAATTTACGGAAAACCGAACGTAGTCGCATCTGCACTCTGCAGCTGTCTGCCTCTCGCAAAGTGTAAACAAAACAAATCCTTCAACTATTTTCATTTCCTAACCTCGTCGCGAACATCTAAGTCTTTCGATTTTATTGTCAAGAAATTAAAAATGAAAGACAAATTTTTGGTTTATTAAATGATAGGTTGTTTTCACAATTAGTAATGGCTGACAAAATATTCTTAGATATTATCTCAGGTCATATAAGTCTCGATAATATTCAAGACTGGTTGGCAGGGAAAGACATTCAGGTAAGTCACATTGATTTTAGGTTTTTAGGTTTTTTTAAAACCTTAAAGACAGATTAGTTTTAGGAAGAAAAGAAAAATTAAATAAGGTAAGCTTCCCTTATAGACTACACACTAAACCAGTGGGTAGGCCTACTTACAGTTTCTTAACTGGGCTACGCTAATATCGATTGAAACTATCGATTTGATTAGTAAACCTTCATGCGATTTTTTCACCATCAGCAAGTTTGGTTGGTTAAAGGTTAGGCAATGATAATTTAATTTTGTACAAGATATATTTTAAAAGAGGCTACCGGTATCGATTATTAGGCTAATCAATAATTAGTGAGGCTAGGCTAGTAAACGTCCTACACAACTAACATCGAGAAATTATACATTTTACAACTTTTAATTTAGCTTAGGCCCTACAACATGGGCCTTAGGCCTATTATCTGAAAGGAAATTCTGTTGGAAATCATGCAACTCAAAGCGTTTTGGTGAATGATATTCTTACAGGATCCATAAGGTTTTTTTGAATAAATTCTAATGTTGTGTATAAAATGGCGTGTAAGTTATGGGGGGAAATGTTGGTTAACCCTTTTGATGCTACGGTAGAATTTTGTTGTTATTTTCCAAAAAATGCTCGTAATTTAGGCCTAACTTACTTATTTTGGTTGAATAGGGATAGGCTGGCCACGGGGGAAAGTCTAGTGTGCGAGAAAAAATTGGTAAAAATAAAATTTTTCATCTCAAAAGTGCTAAGGAACGATATATTGGGCCTCAATCGTGCGAGTAATCAAAAGAAACCATCACTGTTTTGAAACAACAACCAAGTCTTCAACCGATATAAGTTATGCCCATTTAAACTCACACCGTCTAAAGTCGTGTCAGCATGATATATATTGTCGCTTAGAATTATTCGGACGAAACGCGAACAACAATATATCGAACCATAGCACTCTTCGGGAAAAAGACACTCAACGATATATTGTCGCATAGCACTGAAAGGGTTAGTGGTTGGCTCACAGCCTTAATTCGTAGGCCTAATGTTGAGTAGCCTACTCTTGTAGGTAAATTCATCAAAATCGGACACACATATATATATATAAATATATATATATATATATATATATATATATATATATATATACCTGTATATGTAAGTTATATAGCCTATATATTTAAATATACATATATATATACACATTTTAAAGTCATTTTTCAGTTTGTAAATTGAAATGGTGGATGCAGTAGCCTAAATTGCAACTTCAATAATTGTGTCTTGCAATTCAATGATTTTTTCTGTGTTTCAAAAACATTAGTAGACCTAATTGATTTTTGGGGGGTTTTGTAATGGAACCTTGGTGTTAGCACAGACAAGGGAAACAAAAGAAGTGGTACTTTTATTTCCTTAGTCAATGGTGTTAGTCTCCAACATCATAATCTTTCTGTTAGATAGTCATTGATAGTCGCATGTCAAATTATGACTGGGTATATGATGATAGTATTACCATAGATGAATGTACTCTTTCGATTTGGAGTAGAGCATTAAAAGTACTTAAAAAGCCAGGTAGAATCTTTCTTGCTTTTAGTACCGTAATAATATTTTCACTGTTAATTGTATTGTTGAAATGTTAAAATTGTGGCTCTATGTTAAAATATTAATAAAATATCGTAAAACTGATTTAAGCATACCAAGTAAGAGGCTGTTTGTAACGAAATTACTGTTTGCTAGCTGTGTGATAAAGTAAAATTATATTAAGATTTAGGCTTTCAATTATTACATGATTCTTGTGTAATGACCCTGATTTAATGATTAAAAAGTGGCTTAAAATTTGTGCCAGTAAAGTAGTATCAGTAGGTTACTGGTACCCTAAAAGTAACTTTGACAAAAACTATCAAATTTGTTTACCACTTAAAGTAAATTTACAATTTTGTTACAGGCCATTGATGATTCATTGAGCAGAACTGACTTTGTATCAGTGGTCTTGAAATGTATTCAAGAGGAAACAAACAAGTAAGTTGTGTGGTTCTATAGAGTAAAGCTAGATTTTCCTAGTCCCCTTGTCTTAGGCCATTTAATAGTAGGCCTACTGTTTTCCTAGAAGCGTAACTTACCGGACTGCCACGGAACGAGTGGAAATGGCTTCTCCGCGATTGGTGTTCTAGTCGCGGAATGCAGAGAGCAGATTTATTTTGTATTTTAATAATTTTTAAGTAATCTGCTGTCTGCTGGCGGATTGGCTAAGCTTCCTTACATTTATCAAAAAACCTAGGGAACGAGCTTTGCTAAAGGAGAACCGTCTTCGGTCAATGGCTTTCATCCAAATCTTTTTCCTCTCTACCATCCTCTCCAAAGTCTTGAGGAGAAATGAGGAAAGACTGATGGGGCGAAATGATTTGGCATCAGAGTATTCTGCTTTTCCTCTTTTGGGAATGAAGACCACTCTGCTGAGGCGCCAGGCCTGAGGGATGTACCCGTAGGCTAAGCTTGCTTCAAAGATTTCACATAGGAGGAGCTTTAGGGCATCCGGTCCTTGCTGAAGCATGGCTGGGTGAATGCCGTCTCCCCCAGGAGACTTAAATGGATCAAACTTATTGAATGCCCATTTAACTTTAGAGAGAGTGACAACCCTTCTGGCTATATTACAGCTTTCACAATCAGTTCTTGGCCAAGAACTATTCGTGCAGCCGTGTTGTCACTTTGAAAATGCAGCCAGGGAAGTGAGTTTCAAGGAGAAGTTTGAGACTTCCACCAGCCCCGGTGGTGTATTGCCCTCCTGGTACCTTAAGAGATCCCAAGAGTCCAATAGGTTTGGACGCTAGAAGCCGCTGAAGGCAGAGGTGCCCATCCCCCCAAACCCAGTGGCGCAATCCCACCCCCCCCCCTCCAATTAATGCTGCCCTCTATTTAAACCTACCCTCCCCGACCAATTTACCTGGCAATTTCCTCTTTACCACATAAAACGAGCATTTTTCAAGTATATAGTAAACTTGAGGTAAAAAAAAAACAAACTTGCTGATAAATGTTTAATAGGAAAAGTCATTTAACAATTCAAAGTTATATCTAATTAATGGACAAATTATAAGTTTTTCAATTTACAGTTAGAATCTGTATTGTCAGCCAGCACGTGCTCATGCAGTATTAAAATAGGCAACGTCTTCAAAACATTTAACAATATATTCAGTTAATTACTCTACACCAACACAGTACTGCAACTGTGCAATATATTTAGGTGGTGTAAATTTTTATAGGGCTAAAGAATAATTCATATAACTTTAAGTGCACGAATAATACTTTGGCAATAAGAATCTTCTTTTAAAATTAGGTCACGAAATAGGGCAGACTAATTAATTGCCACCAGCACCACAAAAGTATTGTGACGAAGTACGGTAGGCCTAATCTTATAATTAATTTTGATAGCCCTAGGTTTGCGTTTTATGACTAGGCCTAATAATGGTAGTGTTCTGGCGGTTCTTTAACTCCACCATCGTCAGGCTTACAAAAGGATCCACTTTTGGAGGTGTCGTCAGAATATGTTACAAACATTAAACAAAATACCCCCGCTGCAGCAAACCTGCCGAATTTCAATTTGCCTGGATTGATTTTCAATTAGGCTAATCTATTAAATTAATATTTATGTTTAACGAGTACCTAGGTTAGCTGCTACAGGGAAACTAATAAAGTGTGTTTTTTTATGAAATTATAAATAGCTAAGTATGAAATAAACGAATCCGCCAAGTATGATCAAAATATATCCATAAACACTACCCATAAGAATAACATGGGAATTTTAAATGAGAATTTTTTTGAATTTTCACCTTAACCAATCACTGTACAAAAACACTTAGATATACTAAATTATTAAGCTCTTAAAAAGGTCTAGAGAAAAATTGAAAATTTTTGTGTTTTTAGGGTAAAAAATGAGAAAACCCCATTTTTACCCCAAAAACAAAAACCCCCTGTTAAACCCCGTTCCCATGGTCCGATCATGCTGGTTTGCGAACTCATTCAAGTTTATCCGGCCTTACACCTTCATTAGAGATTTGTTTACCTTTCCAGCTAACTTATGTAAGAATTTAAGTTTATTAAAGCCTTATTTTCTAAAAAGGTTCAGTTATTCACAACAATTACTATTATTATATAGAGGTTAAGTCCTTTCTTTCTTGTGTCCAAAGTAAGAAGTACTTGTGTCCAAAGTAAGAAAGAACCATGAGGTCCTAAGTTCGCCTCAATAAAGAAGCAAAAAAATTATCATTTTGAGAAAAACGCCAAGTTTTTAGGTCTTTTAGTTGATAAATCGTTGTACTGCTCTGGAATTTTTATAATTAAAAGACTTCAACCTTTTTGCAATGAACAAATCCTTAAAAAAGTTTACTATGCCAGTATTCACTCTCATATATCTTATGGCATTGAAATTTATAGGGGGTACGAATAATCAAAATTTAAAAAGAATTTTATTAGGCTATTACAGATGGAAGCTATAAGACACATCCTAAGTTTCATAAAGATCGGCTTGAAAATAATTAAGATAAAAATGCTTATGTATAAAAAAAACAAAACGGTGAATGTCTAAGTAAATATATGAGCATTTTTTTAAATACCTTCATATGAACTTTATTCTTTCATTGACTATGAGAATTCATATTCCAAAGTCCTGAAAAGATTTTTTGGACACCCGCATATATTTGTGTCAGTTAGCACAAAAACTCTCAGAGTAAAAATTATATGACGCCTAAGAAATCCTGCTTAAGAAAACTTATTCTACCGGTGTTATAGTCTATATGGTATTAAGAACAGAAATGTTTCGAGTATCCTTTTATGTTTTTTTTTTTTTTGTTTTAGCAAATAGTCAATGGTTTTAGGCCCTAGTCCAAAATATCTTTGGCAAATATGAAGAGACAATAGTGTATATTTCTTCACTAGGGTCTAAAGTGACTCTTTTCGACCCAAGCTCAAGTTTTACAATCGGGGCGAAGCCAAGGTCAGAAAATTAGTGAGGAAAAAGACACTTTTTGCCTGGGTGTGGTGAATTATATTTTTTGTCATATTGCACTACTTGAACAAACCAAGTTACAAAACTAATAGTGTTTGTTTAAAGATAACCTCTCAAGACTACTTCTAACTTGTTTTCAATTTAATTTTCTAATGAAAAGAAGCAGCTGTTTGCTAAGTGATTCAATCGTTTCGTCTATTACGATCAGGGCCGGATCTACAAAATAAAGGCCCCCAGCAAAAGTCCTCCAACGGCCCCTAGAGCTGGCATCAATAGGAAGGAGGCCTTATTTACAGGACGGGGAGGGGAATGTTTAAAATATAAGTAGTTGAAACCTCAGAGTAATAAAACAAAATGTTTTGTTTTATTACTCTGAGCTGAAACTTAATTTTAACGCTATTTCAAAGATAAAATATTGATCGTATTTGTAAAAAAAAACATGTTTGTTAAAACGCGTAATTTTGTAAATTTATGAACTAAAAAAAACAGCAAACTTCAAATAAATCTTTCTTATTCTTATGTCAATAGGATTTCTTAGCCTTTCAACAAGCTTTTATAGCCTTTTTACAAGCTATAAAATACATATTGTACAAAAAAAGTAAAAGGGTTTTACATAAGAATATCAAGCATTAATAATAAGGTAAAGTAATAAACACGACTCAATTTAAACTTAGTTTCGTTTTACACTATACTTTCAAGATAGATCACATTCCAATCATGCCTACATACAAATCATGGTCCCAGAGGGACAGACATATTTGTCTGTCAAAACTAAACTTACTGTCCTATTCAATTAGGTTTATATGCATTAAAATAATTTTAAATTTTATGAACTCTTTGGGCCCCACTGCATTGCGGGGTTTCGCGGTTCCTAGATCCGGCCCTAATTACGATTGTGTTAGTGTACATTATAATTTTGATATGTCGAACTATTAAAAATAAGGCAACAATAAGATACAACCAATTAAATAATCGATATATACTTTAAATACAACAACTGATTTTTACTCCCTAGCTAGAGAGTAAAAATGCTACTTAGACCTGCAACGCATGTATGTAAAACGGCCGTTTTTGCTGCAAAATGAATTTTTTTTACATCTGAGTTCAAAGTTTAATTATTAAAACAAATTTTGTTTAAAGTCATAAGAATATACAAGCTGGTATCTATTACAGTATTTACTTAGAAACAAAACACTTATTTTATTAGCGTACCTTGTATTATTATTATCTTTAATTTTAGATAAGGGGTTCAAATTATTATCTTTATACCTTGGGGTACTTAATTATTTTTAATCTACTCAACTGCATAGGGTTTTTCAAGGGGGCTGGTAAGTATCCAGCATAATCTCTTATCATACAAATCTTTATTTTTTTAGCTTAGGCTACTCATATACTTTTAGGAATCATATTGCAAACCAACCTTAGGTCATGATTTAATTCTGATGTTGAATAAATACTATGCCTAGATTTCTTCCCACACCTTCAACATCTTCTACACAACAATCTCTAAAAGATGGACTACTACTAGAACAACAGGTACCTGCTAAAAGGAGTTATGATAATGAGTCAAAAAAATCAGAGGATGAGTTATCTAATCAGAGAACACCATTTCAAGCTGTAAACAAAGCAACATCAACCAAGACAGTGACACATCAGTTTTCTAGGGTAAGTAGTAACAGAACAGTAAATCCTCATAAACGATTAATAAGTTAAGGCTTTGCTTATTTAAACTAGGCAGCTTTTTGACTGCAGTTTGTAAAAGCTTCAAATGGCTAAGTTAAGAAGCCATTACGTTAACTACATATTTTTGCTCGGCATTTGGCAGTCCTTCAGTCATAATCTTTTAAATTTAGAATACACTAAGCTTTTTTTCTGTAAAAGGTATATCGATAACTTTCATCATAATGCGTTTTTTTAGCGAATTTCCCATATAGGGAATAAGCTATTACCGTAGTACACATGGTAAGACCTGGACCCGGGACCAATTTTTTTTTTTTTCGTTTTGAGGTCCCTAGAGTCCAAAAATACCATCCGTTCAAATTCATATATATGTGTGTGTGTCCGTTAGAGCGATAACTCGAGCAAAAATTATCCGAATTCGATGAAATTTGGTACAAACGTGTAAACCTACGTTTATTCGAACGAGTTCGCGAACCAGCATGATCGGACCATGGGAACGGGGGTTTATGGTGGCTTTTATGGGGTAAAAATGGGTTTTTCCAATTTTCGACCCAAAAAACATAAAATTTTGCAATTTCTTTCCAAACTATTTTGTAGAGCTTAAAAAAACAAATAATTTAGTACATTGAAGTGTTATAATGCGCCTAATGGTTACGGAGAAAATTCCAAAAACATTTTAAATTTAAAACTCCCATGTTATTCTTATGGAGAATAAGTAAACGTAAACTGTTGTAGTTTAATTGTTTATTAACATATTTTGCCCAAATTTGGAAAATTTTTTTATTTCTTACTAACTATTAACATTTTACATAAAAAAAACACTTTTACCCCCCCCTGTTGCAGCAAACCTAAGTATGTATTAAACTGATTCTATTTAAATAGGGAATAAATGCGATATTTTTAAGGAGACATTTTAGTGTAAATCCAATCAGGCAAATGGAAATTTGCTTAGTCTGCAGGTTTGCTGCGGCGGGGGTATTTAGACATACAATGTAATTTAATCTTGATTCTCATAGATCATATTGACTTTTTTCAACAATTAGCCTGGATTAATTAATAAAGGTTTGTTGTAGGCCTACTCATTGATTAAATAGAATATCAGAATATTCAGAACTACACATAACCAAAGTCACATTTACCTAACACCACCAACCATAGTAGGTTATATTGGGTTAGTTTCCCAAAATATTTTCTATGGGTTCAGCATTTTGTAACGTTTTAAGAGAGGTCTATTCCAATGTGATTTTAAACCAAATAAGTTGGTAGGTCGATAACCATGCAGTCTTAATCCTTGTCCTCTTTAGAAAAAAATTACCCATGAAAAGGTTTTTAAACATTTTTATTATTTTAGCATACAAACAGTGGACTTGAATTAAGAAAAGACACTCATGGATCAACTGCTTTTGATGGTAGAAATATTTTGACATCAACTCCAGTACGTCCTCGCAGGAACAGCAGTAGAAATGACCAGTTCACCCTTTCACCTCCTGGCTCATTTCATTCAGACCAAAGCTCTCACTCCCAGACCCCTAGGTCGTCTAAGAGCTCCAGGTTCAACAGTTCCTCAGGACTCCACCATTTTTCACCCAACTCTTCACAGTCTCCTCCATTCAGTCCGTCCTCTCCTCAGTACACTGACAGTTTTCCTGACTTGGGTGCCAAGAGTCGGCAGAGAACACCTCAGTCACCTTGCCTCGGAGATTTCATCAAAACTAAACCAGCTTCACAGAAAACTCGGAAAAGGATCAAACCAACTCAGCTTACTACTCCAGAGAAAGATGCATCTACTGGTGAGTGATACATAAACAGTGTTCATGAAAGTTGTTTACTTAAAAATATAATAAGTATGGAGTTGGTCTAAAATAGGTAGTTTAGTGACTCAAGAGAAAAATTATTGAATTTTTGAACCAAGAAAACGCTCACAGAACAACAACAAATAAGAAGAAACAAGAATAATGGCCAGAATGAATCTAACATAAAAATATCAATTTTGTAGTAGGCTATAATATTCTTTTATACTGACCAACGATATAATTTTAAACCTGATTAAATATCTTTTTTAGTACTGAACTGAATTAGTAATGTGTACCTGTGATGTAAAGAAGGATTTTCAGAGGCTACACAACCTACTTTTGATAGAAATGACTGATTATTAGCTAAGCTTGATATTAGTTACATTTTAATCAATAGGCCTAGTTAAATAACTGCAAAATATGTCAGCATAATAAAATGGAAATTTTTGGTATTGCTTGGTAATTTAAAGGATTAGTTTATATATGGTTTTATCAAGCATTGTTCTCGTTATAATGTAACTACAGTATGTAGTTCATTTTAATACTACTTAAGCGATAATGTTTTTTTTTAGAGTGCTCAAAAGGAAATACTAATTTTGGAATAGCAAGCCGACCATTTGTACCCATAACGGCCACTCAGACAGAGGTAAAAGAACAATTAAATTTTGACGAAGAAAGAAATTTGTTAAAACAAAAGCGTATTCAAATCTTAAAATCATCTCAAGATAACCCCCAAACAATTAATCCAGACACAGCAAATTCACAATTTGAAGAAAAGCAAAATACATCAAGACAAAACAATTCCATTTGTATAAGTATTTCCAAAGAGACATCAGAGCCTAACAGTAACATATCCTCCAGTCCTCAAAGTGTAAAGTTTGTGACAGTAGACCCTGATCCAAATTTGGTTAAGAATATTGACAAAATTTTGAGACTAGCTTCTATTTACAGTGCCTGCCTTGATGCAAACTTAGTGCCAAATATTACTTCAGAATTGTATAATGTGTTCAATCTTCTGACAGCTGTATATAAATCAAAAGTTTCTGAAAGTGCTAATTCATCTAAACAAAGTCTTTCATCCAACCAAACTAATGAATTGAGTTCAGGCAGTGGAAGTTGCAAGAACTTATTGCAGAAGTTGTGTTTGAAGGAGGAATCACAACAAACTCCCTCTGTTAGTATTGGCGATGAAGAAATGATATTGCCAGGATATAATAATACGAAAGTGTTTACATCAGTACATGATTGCGTAATGTTTTCTGTTTGTGTACTAAAAAGACAAATCAACACTTTACTATGTATTGATAAAAGTACCTTAAGATTACTCATAGAGAACACAAGACTATCAGCATTTCTTCCCGATTTAGTTCCTCATTTGGTTCAAATAATGGAAACAAAGGTAAGTTATAACTTCATAAACAAATATTTTTTAGTATGTCAGTTTTTATTGGTTCAGTTTTTTGATTGATCACTTGTTGGTTTTCGGTTGGTTTCCGTTTAAAATAGATAAAATTATCATCCACTTATGTTTTAGCTGTCATACTTTTTTAGTGATGGTTGTCTTATGTAGTTACTGTACTGAAGATAATTACTGGTAACACTTGGGTTTGACTTTTAACTGATAGAAAATGTATGCAATAATAATGTAAAAAACAATAAAAATCTGATTCTATACTAAAAACTCATTATTACAAAGCTATGTACGTTTTAACGAATTTCTTGTTTGGCTGCCAGTAGAAAAACATTAGGCCTATAAGCTTTAAAAATTTTAATTTTTGTGTTCTTTTAGCGAATTTCCCTATAGGGAAGTAGCTATTACCGTAGGTCTCATGGTAAGACTTAGGCCCGGGACCGATTTAGTTTTTCATTTTGATGTCCCCAGAGGCCAAAAACACCACTCGTTCAAATTTTTATATATGTATGTATGTGTGTCCGTGAACACGATAACTTGAGTAATTTTTATCTGATTTTGATGAAATTTGGTTTGAAGGTGTAAGGCGGGATAAACTTGAATGAGTTCGCGATCCAGCATGATCGGACCATGGGAACAGGGTTTTATGGGGGGTTTTATGGGGTAAAAATTGGTTTTTCTCACTTTTGACCCTCAAAACACAAAATTTCCCAATTTTTCTCTAAACCTTCTTAAAGAGCTTAAAAAAACAAACAATTCAGTATATCAAAGTGTTTTTGTACGGTTATTGGTTACGGAGAAAACCAAAAAAAATGGTAAATTTAAAATTCCCATGTTATTCTTATGGAGAATATTGTAAAATGTTGTAGTTTGCTTGTTTATGGATATCTTTTGATCAAACTTGGCAAATATATTCATTTTATACTAAGCAATAATTATTTTACTTAAAACACACACTTTATTAGTTTCCTTGTAGCAGCAAACCTAGGTACTCGTTAAACCTAATGTTATTTAAATAGATCAATTGAAAATCAATTCAGCCAAATGGAAATTCGCTTAGGCGTCAGGTTTGCTGCGGCGGGGGTATTTTAATAATATCATCATGACTATAATTTGTGCTCTGGCCTGCTACTATCCAGTTAGCGCAGGAAAATCGTATACATCTCCTGTGATAGTTAAACATCACGATTGTCTCCTGCAATTGCAGCAAAATTATTGCATAGCAAACGTTGAACTCGATCCAAGCTTATTTTAACAACTGTGGTAAAACCCACAAACCTCTTTAAAAACCATCCCATCCCTAGTTATTTTTCTGTATTTTTAAATGTATATCAAAGGTTTGGGTATAACTAATGTTTTAGCTATTTTTCAATTTAATACGGTACAAAACTAAAAACCCAACAAAAATGTTCTAATTGTAACAATTTACTAGCTCTGTGCTTTGAAAGACACCATATTCAACTTTTTGGAGCGTGATTCCAAAATTTAGGACCAAGCACTGTTAAATCAAGGTATTGTTTGTGTGCTCAAAAACAAAACAAAAATCCAATATGTGACATTTGTGATATGTTTTATTTTAGGAGGCACAAGAAGCTTGTTATAATTCATCTAAACCTTCTTCTTTTTTAACTGAAAATGGACCTGTGCTTTATCACATTGAAACTGACAACCAAGACAATTTCTCCACAAAGGAGAATTTCAATTTCTTTAAGAAACAGCGAGATGGGTTTTATGAGACTCTTCATGAATGGAGAACAAAGAACTCTGATAATGTTTGGACTTCAAGAAGGTTTCCTCAGAGAGTTCAGCAATTGTTATCTCTTTCAAGTGATCCTGTTAACATGATGCACTTGGCAAGACTCTTTTGTGCTCAGATGACTAACTCCAAGGTAAAGTTATGAAAATGTATGGTCAATGATAAAACGTCTAAAAATTTTGGGGAATTTCCCCCTTTAGGAAATAAGTTATCACCTCTATCATAAACCATGTTACTTTTTTGTTTTGATGATGCTAGAGGATCAATAGTCAATGCTATTACCTACTTGCTTAGAGCTTGTAGGTGGCACAGTAAGACCTAAACCAAGACCACACTAAAAAAAACAGGCCGTAATGCTCGTCAAGCATGACATCACGATAGAAGACGGCAATGACGTAATTAAGGTTACATTTTTGTTTTCGATGAAAAGATTAAAACAAGCAGCTGATCACAAACGGCAAACATTATGTCATTGCCGTCTTCTATCATGACGTCATGCTAGACGAGCATTACGGCCTGTTTTTTTAGTGTGGCCTTGCCTAAACCCGATATACCTTTTTTTCATTTTGACGTCCCTAGAAGCTAATAACACAATTTGTTCAAATTTGTATATAGGCCTATTTATAGCCTACATATTCAGGTTGGGAAAAAAGTCCCGGGATCGTTAAACATTTAAAATAATAATCAAGAAGACAGAGCTACAAAACTTGATACAAGGTTACTGGGCATTAAAATCATTTTAACACACACTGTTTTTTCTATGTACATCCGTGAACGTGATAACTTAAGTCATATTTGTCCGATTTGATGAAATTTGGCTTGAATATGTAGGGCGGCGGGATAAACTTGAATGAGCTCCTGAACCAAGATGAACCATGTGACTGGGGTTTTATTGGGTAAACATTGGTTTATCATTTTTACGCTCAAAGCAAAATACTTTCCAATTTCACTTTAAACCTTTTTAAAGAGCTTAAACATAATTTAGTATATAGAAGTGTTTTTTACAGTTATTAGTTACAGAGAAAGCTCAAAAAATTGTAAATTTAAAATCCCCATGTTATTCTTATGCAAAATAAGTAAACTGTTGGAATTAGTTTGTTTTTGGATATATTTTGATCAAACTTGGCAAATTATTTTATACTAAGCTATTAATAATTTCCTACTAAAAAAATATTCTTAATTACCCTCCCTGTAGCAGCAATCCTAGATACTTGTTAAACCTGATGTCATTTAAATAGATTCAATTGAAAATCCAATCAGGTGAATAGAAATTCGTGTAGTCTGCAGGTTTGCTGCGGCAGGGGTATTTATATATGTATCAGAACTTGATAACCCGAGAAAGTTTGGTCTTATTATTATGACATTTTTCATGAATGTGTAGGGCCACATAAATTTTCTTGAGCATGTGAACCAGCAAGATTGCGTAATAAAGTCTGTTATGGGATATGTTTAGTAATTAAATAATAGATCTCATAAGCAAGAAGAACTATCTATATTGGCTCATGCTCAGACACAATCCATTATTTGTTTCCAATGCTTAGTTTAGTATCATTGCCTTACAACTCAGCATATTGTAAACTTGTAGTTTTGCATTATACTGCAATGTGTCCGTAGAGTGAACCACAGGAGGAGCCAGAGTTGGCTGGAGTGTCCAAGGACAAGTTGTGTCGTCTGCAGGCGAGGTTTAGTAAACCAGCTGAGGGAGGAGTCTCGCCACGACCACCACCTACCTTCCCAGCTGAGCAGCAGTTCTACCAACAGTTCCTGCAGCTGGCAGTCGGCTCTACATTCCTGCATCATGTCACTGACTGCCTTGTCTATCGGCTCTGCCACCTGGATCATGCTGACCTACTTACAGAAGGTCTCGGTAAGATTGCATCGGTTGGGATTTGTTAATGTTTTGCAAACACTTGAGAACATGATTCATGTTTAGACAAAATTTTTTAGAGGCTTTTTTGTTAACTTTTTAATATTAGACCACTCAATTAAAATTGCTAAGCTATAAATTTTGAATAGTGTTTTTTTTTTGTTTTTTTTTTTTGTGGGGAGGAGGTAAAAAGTATATTACGTTACTAGTCCTGAAAATAAGTGTTTACCGGACGAGTGTGGTCGTTCCCGTGCGAGACGAAGTCGAGTACGGGATTACCATACGAGTCCGGTACACACATTTTGGACGAGTTACGTACGATAGTTTACGCCATACTACTAAATCCGAACAAATCCTTATATATTTCCACCAACTAAAGGACTAAAAATTACTAGTCATAACCTCTAAGAGAGGTTATGTTTTTGTTTATAACCACTCACTGCCACCTAAATACAGTATAATCAGCTGATTGGTGTCCGGCAAAACTCATTGCAGCACAGTAGTACGCAATGAAACCCCATTTGAATAAGCTGGCGGCAAACAGCTGTTTTCTGGACTAAATCCTTGCGTGGGAAGTTCATCAAAATAATGTAGTGTGGCGTAAATTAATTTAACCACACTGAGATGCTCAATGGCCTCTCAGCCCGGAAGGAAAGACTGCAGACCATCTTCTCTATGACTGCACAGCTCTGAATGAAGTAAGGGATGATACTCTTGGAGCAATGACAAGTGGCAGACACCTTCCTCAGGAAGAGCTCATAGATAGGATGCTCATTAGGAAGTTCATTAAGCAACTCAGGTCTGACGTACCAAGTGGGGAGCGCAAAAAGCCCATCAATGGCTGATGTGCAACAGAACAAGGTCCGCCTCTACAGAATCAATCAATCAAACCACACATGAAGTTCTGATTCGAAGGTCTGATAGAGTATGTATGAGTATGGCCATACATTTCTTCCAGTGAAAGATGATAACAGTTTTCAGAGTTCAAAGATCCACACATACACAATTTAAATTTAAATTAAACGGGTTAATAGGTTAGACATGCACAAAAGAAAGAGTTAATTGAATGAAACAAAATAAGAGGATAAAAGAAATAAATTGCTACACAAATCGATATGAAAAAGGTAAAAGCACAGTTAATAAAGGGAATGATTACATTTATAAATTTGTATTATTGTATTGTTGCGGCCATGTGGGTGTTTTGCAATAAACTCTCTCTCTCTCTCTCTCTCTCAATGATGAGCTGGCCTGCTAATGAATACGGAACAGTAGTTTTTATCCTGTTTGGGAGCAGGACTAATTTTATTACAGTGTATAAAATGATGATATGTAAATATTCTTGTCAAAAAGGTAGGCCACCATAATCAGAAGGGTACGGTGTGCTGATATAAAACCTTTCATCATAGACTAATAGAATACAATATAAACTGTCAAAGGAAGGTTCCGCTATGTGCCGCTAGAGCGTGCTCGGTGTTCGATACTCTGTCATCGTCGGATTTTGGCCAAAAGCTACCAGCAGACACTGCAGCGGTGTGCGCCGTAACTACATGGCACTCCCAGCGGTTGAAGCCAGAACATATGCTAACCGCAGCCCTGCTGTTAGTCTATATTTAATTCTTTTTTTCTATGATTTCATGTAGATATTTTCATCTGGTTGATATTTCCACAACCAACATCGTTTGATTTTTGTAAATGCAGATTACTTAAAAGAATTGAATTTAAAATCATTAGTGCTTCAATAAAGAGGTTAACTATAAGAAATGACCATGAGGTCCTAAGTTTGCTTCAATAAAGAAGGATTTTCATTTAATTTCATTCCATTTCAATTAAAATATGAAATGTGGTTTCAGAGACAACAATTAGGCCTCGTTCACACGTATCGACTTTTCACCGTGTGCCGTGCATTCCTGAACCGCGCCGTGGAGCACACGACTCGCACCGTGAACAACACGACTTGGGCCGTGCGAAAATGACCTCTTGCCACATTTCTTCAGTCTGTCATCTGTTTTTCGAATGTCAGTTGCTTCATTTGATGAACTGTTAGTAAAAGTGCAAGGAGGCTTATTTAAAGAAACAGAACACTTAGGCCTCGGATACGATTCGAGTGGCGAGTGGCGAGCGGCGAGCGGCAACCTTAGCGGTACGTAAGCGGTGGTGGTGGCTACGATACAAGCCGCACATTTATAACGCTCATCAAATGTCCCCTGTTTGTCCGCTGTATGAGTCAGTTTGAGAAAAACCTTGGACATCGGGTCTCATTTAGTTGCGTGCTAATTTGTTAAAGGTTGGCCACCAATTGGCGAGCGGTGGAACCTAATCATGGTTCCAAGTCAAAAACGATTTTCGCGAAAACGCCGCTCGCCGCATCACCTCATGCTTCAGTTAGGCCTAAAATGACAGAGAAACAGCAGCAAACATGCGAAACAGGTCGATACGTGAGGTACAGTCCAGGGAATCTTTGTGGAATGACCAGCACGGAAGTTTTAAAACACTTCAGTGACCATAAAAGTATGGAACAAAGTTAGGGTTAAGGTTGTTCTAAAAACTAAGTTTTTCTTTAAAGACAAACAATTGTCAGATAGCAACAATAGTTACAATACGTCTTGCAGGTAAGCATAGTTTACCATTTTCGACTAAACTGACTCAAAAAACTGGGGAAATTTCATGAGCATTATAAAAGTGCCGCTTGTGTCATAGCCACCACCGCCGCTTACGTGCCGCTCAGGTTGCCGCTTGCCGCTCACCGATCGCCCATCTTAAGGCATGACTTCACTGGAAGTGGAAGATTCCGCCTTTTGTGATGGATGTACTACACCTCTCGAATCCAGGAAGACACTGAAATAAACAATGTCTGGGCATGCGCTAGACCGAGTCGGGACGGCCCCGCGTCGACCTGTGTGAACGCATCTATAAGAGTAGTGTTCAAGAGGTAGAGTACGGCGCGACGCCGCGTCGTCGTTTGAAGAAGGTCGTGATGTCCACGGCCGCCGTGGTCGATACGTGTGAACGGTTGCATGTACAGCAATGCTATTGAATAAACACGACGTCGTGCCGTACACGGCGCACGGCGGAAAGTCGATACGTGTGAACGAGGCCTTACCGGTAATGATCAAATATGTTGACTGACTTAGTTTCTTAAACTTGTTTTCACTTTTCAGCTGAGGAAGAAAGCAAGTCACATGTACAAGCTTGGGTCAGAAGCAGCTGTTTGATAGCCAAGATCCTGGGTTTTGTCACCTTCTTGCCTTACAAGTCAAACACCCCTCTAGCACCCGACGTCCTGCAGGCTCAGATAATGGTCAGAGAACAGGTGAGTTAGTCTTCAAATACCTACTCAATGAACGATTTGTATTCATAAAAAGAGCAATAATTAGAAGTCTTGTACAGTATTCAGAGTTTTAAACTATAAAAAAATTTTGATGAAGATGAAACATTTTGATTTAATTCGCTTCAAAATAGTTTTAGGACCACAGTAAGGAAAGTGGATTGGAAATGGTCAGGTATCTACTTTTTGTAATTCCAATTAGCATATTGCAGACATTTTATCTTCTTAGTATTAGTGTTTTTATGTTATATTTTTTATTCTAAATTTAATCAAAATATGCAATGTTCACCAGCCAATTCAGTGGAGTAGGGTGTCTAACTAAGTCTAAACTCCGCCAAAGTTTTCATGAAGAATATTAAAGCTTACCAAAAATGTTATCCATTAAGTTGGTTTTGAAAGGGCGTCACCCAATAAACTCCTATTAATTTGGTTTTGTTACTTTAAATTTATATATAAAATTTCTGCATTACCTCTTAAAATACTATCCTCCTTAAAATATTCTTGAAAAGAAGAGGGTGCCCTGGATATCCACTATCAGCAACATTACAAATATTCCTCCCCTAGACCTTATGTTGGTTTATGTTCAGGTTGTTCCTCCAGTCAATCTGTTACCCCTACTACACAAAGCTCTGACCACCAACCGCCTGGTGGTTACAGTGCCTTGGGTCGTGGCCTACCTAGGTATGATGGACCCTGTCGTACCCTACCTAGCCAGCTACCGACCTCTGCTACAGTTGCTGGTCTCAGTATACAAGGTTCTACCACTACCCTACTTGTCTTCCATGTCCAACTTCTTTCTGCGGTGCTTGCTTGGTTGGCTTTTTGACACGTCATCGTTTCCCCAACATGTCTTCTCATCTTTGATGTCAAATACTCAAAATGTTGACTGTAAGTAATCATAAATTTCCCTTAATCTTAATGTATGTTTTACTTTTAATTTGTTATTTTTTTGAGGTTGTTTAGAAAGGGTAGTAGAATTTTATCCCCCTTGGAATTTTACCCCCTTAGCAAAACTAACATCACAGCCTAGGGGATAAAATTTCATCCACAAACTTTTATTTATTTATTTATTTTTATTTATTTATTACTTGGTACAGTACATATACAATGAATTTATAAAATACAAAACTGCATAAGCCTTAAAAAAGGCTTGTCCGCAGCGTTTCTTATAATACTATTGTCTTTTCCATCTTTATCTTGATCCTGAGTCAGTGTGAACTATTACTGTACAGAAACTTTAGAAAAATAAATTAAATTCAAAAATAAGAACAAGTGTAAATGCAAGGAATATTTTTAAAATTATTTAACATGAGTATATACTTTCAGATTAAACATTCAACAAACAAATAAATATCTAACAAGGAATAATAACAGCTGAAACGAACTTTATAACATACAATAAAACAGGAACAGGAACTATATTTTTAACAGTTGATTGTACAGTTTGAGTTGCACAACATGAGTTGAATAAATTAAAGATGGAATTAAACTTAACTTTTCACAGTTGAAAATTTAATCAGGACAAACCAAATTATTAAACCTAGGGTGTACAGGTTAGGATTTTATTCCCGGACTTTTAACCCCATCACAAGTTTAGCTTAAAATGTACTAAACAGGGGATTTCTACCCCCGGAGTTTTACCCCCTCGCTTGATACAGAATTTGGTGAGAATAGGCTAATTAGTTTTGTACATAATGGGTGTTTTTAGAGAAAGACGTTTAAACAGTAACTTTTTAAAACTTTTATTTACCATTGTCTGTATTAAATTTGTTAGGCAAATTAAATTTGTAAACAATATATCAAATTAAATTCAATTGCTTCAATCTTGAAAGTTAAAAAAAAAAATTCAAACAATTATCTTACTAATATTATAAATGTGAAAGTTTGTGTGTTAGTTTGTTTGTTTGAAGTTCAATCACGCATTAACTACTGGACGGATTGAGCTGAAATTTGGGATGATGATGCCTCACATTCCCGGTTAACATATAGGCATATTCTTATCTCAAAAATCCGTTCGGGCTCCGCCCCAGTGGCTCTGCAGTTCCCCATGTTAACCTTATGCGTATTCATATTTAAAGGGAATTAATGAATTTAGTCAGCTGTTCCAAGAAAAAAAGTTGGTTCTATGATATGCAAAAGAATGAAAAAGTTACAAGATTTACCAACAGGGTGCAGCACTAACATTTTTTTGCATTTATGAAAACAACTAATTTGAACTAAGCAGCAACAAAAAACTGTGATACGCAAAGAGAACTGTGAAATCAGGATTGTTTACAGTTATGTTTATGTTATTAATTTCATGAAAATTTGTGATATTTCTCGGATTTTTAAAGATTTATATTTCTTTATTGTTTAGGTGAAGTGGTAGAACATTATAGCTATGATAAATGTGTAATACTATAGTATACCGTAAATATAAAGAAGCAAATTTTATCAAACTGTGTCCTCCCCCATTCGAAATGCAAAGCTCGAGTATAACTGCATTAAGCATTTTATACTTATATGCCAACCCCGTACGAAGGACGGGTACTCTGCTAGTCATTCATATTTGCTACTTATTTTGCGTATCTACATATTAACGAACCACTGGCCCCAAAAATCTGATCCTAAAACAAATCTCTAAACGCAATACCTGTTTACTTGGATGAAGTTACGACTAAATTAACATAAGCTACTTAATAATGGAATATGTACTATTCAATCAAAACTGAAAGAAGTTGAACTCCTAACCCAGACATAATAACATGAATATGTGAGAGTATGATACAATAACTACCATACTCTCATAGTTTATAACAGGCCTAGACTGGGACCATTTGGGGCCCTCAGCTATATATACTGTGAAAGGGCCCTCTACCGGGGGATTATTTTTTTATTAAGTTCTTATAAATGAGTTTTTTTCCCACTATTTTGGCTAGCCTTGTTTCGTGTGTTAAGGCAAGGATATACGTAGCTGACCTTTATGTTGTTGCTTTTTATTTTAGATGCGGTAATGTTTTAAAAAATTCCAAATTCTATGGTCGAATTTTGTCTATTGGTTTTCGTTTTCAAATTATTCTTATCTAATTCCAGGTATCGGTATTGGCATTGACTCTATTCTCGATACCCATACAAATGTTCCAGAATCGGTGGCATTGAAAATCGGCACATCCCTACCGGAAAGCTTCCAGTATCTTTTTCTTCTTTTCCTGTCTTTTTGCGCCGTCTTTATGATGAGTAATCAGCTGATATGATAGAGCATCACTTTGTCGCTGTCTGCTAACCACAACACAAGTCACCGCGCAGACGATGTGTTACACTACAACAAAGTAACTCAACTTACAGTACAGTAGGTTTTATAAAGCTTGTGTATAAACAGCATCATACAAACAGTTGTTGGACATGGTTCTATATTTTGGAAAATGTAAACAAAATGTTACTAAGAACATATGATAACTTCTAACAAGCAACAACATTTTTTTGTAATTTGAACACGAGCCGGGGGCCTTCCACGATCCCGGTTTGAAGACCTAGCCAGTCCGGGCCATGTTTATAAAGTGCTTAAGTAAATATTCAACAAAAGACTGATTATATAATACTCTTGTGTATGTTTGTCAGTTGAAGGTGGTGAGTCTCTAGATGTAGTAGACCAAGCTTTGCTGTATGAGGTGTGTCCATACCTGAACTGTCTGCGTCAGTTACAAGTCTCTAGCTCAGGTCCCAGGCAAGGCTCAGTGAGGCACATCACACCAGTGTCTACACAACTACCACCTTCTACTGCTTCCTCCCAGGCATCTCAACAACAAACACTTGAGGTCAAACTTCTAGTAGCTTAAGTCATTTTTTGTGTTTATATCCACCCCATTGGCATTTTTTAATTGATTTTTTGTAAGGGAACGATCCAATCCCTGGTCTTGTTACTACATAACGTCCATCTTTTATTAGATAGAATTATTAATCCTAATTTATAGCCCAATGACAATGGTATCTGGGTCTGGTAATGATCTTGCTTTGAATCAAACCAATGTCCTTCAGATTTGGAGACAAACACTATAACTACTGAGCGGCTACCCAGACAATATTTAGTCTTAGCCAGCAATATGTCTACTTTTTAAAAGATTTTTTACAGTTTTTAGCAAACTTCCCTATTAGGCTAGGTATTGTTCTATAGGACTAGGTGGAGTTCTACTGGACCGATTTTATTAATTGATGGGTCGTTGGAAAGCATGATTCCTGTAGATTTGCAAATAATTATGAAAGTTTGTTTTTGTTATGATTAATGGTGAAAAATTAAAAAAAAAACACGTTTTCAATAAAAAATACAATGAAAACTGTGTTTTCACACTTTTTATTTGGGTGCGACTTTTGGCTGCCTTTTTTGAGTATTTCCAAGAAGTGCATGGTATCAATTTGTTGTAGGACATTTTATTCTCTTTCAGAATATCACCTTCCACTTTGGTCGATTTCCTCACCATTTAAAAGTTATTTGCAAAAAAGCTAAGCAAACTTCCAAATTTATAGTAACTAGTGTACATGTTGCTCGAATTCGAGCAATTGCAAAGTATTACAGGAGTTGTTTCAAAACAAATAACAGTTATATTTACAGTGAGTTCAAAAGAGTCAACTCCAAGATTACCGGTGTGTAACTCACGTAGATACTCACGATGTATATAACAGTAATCAACATTTCCTGTAAATATTGTATCATATTTCATAACCTGGTATTGCTTTTTAATGTTTTCTACAAATATTTCCTGACTTATAGTCATATAAGGTTGTCCATGTTTATCTTCGTTATTGATAAACCTAAAGCATTCCGGCCGGTTTTCTCATTCTCAAAATACCTCGCTGTACAGGCAACACAGGTCATTGATAGAGGGCCAATTGAGAACGAAAAGTTGTTTTGGGATAGTGGTAGGGCGCATTTGTAACCTAATAGTTGAGATTGTCCAGGGTCAGGTGCTGATTGTGATGAGTTAAGCCTACTATGCGCCACTGTTCTGTAGCTGCGGTCGTTATCACGATTACGCCTCCTGTCTATGTTTCGTTGTCATCGCGTCGGAGGCATTTAAAAGAAAAAAACAACAAATAAACAAATTATAGCTACACAAAAGAACGATAAATGCACAAATTTAAGATACAACCATACTAACACGATCCGTCTTGGGGGTTATGTTTACACAAACTCAAATAGTAAATAAATGTACTCAACAATGTGTTTCATTGAATTGAAAAATAAATAACAGCAATTAAATTATACAGCTGATCAAAATGCAAACAATTATGTTCTTCATAAGGATAACATGGGAACTTTCAAAGCCACTGATGCAGAGCCCAAGGGACTTTTTCAAAAATGTAAGGCCGGTTTGCAAATCTACGCGACACGCTCTTTCCAATGAGACGTAAATGAATAAATCGGTTAAGAAATTACGGAGGAGTTCAACCGACAAAGTTTCATGTAGCGTATTAATTATATAGATGAGAAAATACTGAGTTAGGGATATTTTTTTTAAACTTTGTACAACTAAATCTAGACTTCTACTGGACCGATTTTGGATTGGAAATTCTAATGGGTCATTGGAAAGCCTAATTCATGTAGATTTGCAAATAATTATAAAAGTGTTATTTTATAAAATATTTGTGGTGATAAGTAAAAATAACAAAAATACATTAAAACTGCTTTTTTCAAGTTTCTGTTTCATGTATCTATTTGTAGCCAGCTTTTGGCTGCCCTTCCGAGGGGGTCAAATCTATACCTTATAAGCCTCGGATCTGCTACCAGTTGTGTGTGTCCAGGGTTCAATTTAATTTGTTAATTGGCTGGGCTCAGAACATTCAATTTTATCATTCACTCAGTAAATCATTGGTCATCATCATCGCCCAAATTAAGGCCAATTAACCCCCCGATCAGTTCCAACAAGTTCCTCTTGTCTCAGGTGAATGTTACGCACCTCCCTCCGCAATGGTCTGGTTAACGACACGTCTTCGGAAGCTCCGATCTCAAGATTGTCATCATCCGCCAAAATACTCAACCTTCCTCTTCCTTTACAGACAGGTCAAAGGTCAATAAAAACGGGCGCTACCCTAAATGAGTTGTAGCCCCGGAAACTGACTTGATCCTCCATTAAATCGTCCCTTATTTGCCGTCCTTCTCTAGTGGCTATCGATAATAGGAGGGGCTTGGCATGGAAAAACCTGCATACCGTCATCTGTGCTCGTCTGCCCGATTGACATCAAGAAGGGTGAAGTTCTAATCTTTTTATCGCCCTCTCCTAAGGGCTCGGGCGATTTTCTTTCGCCATTCGCACGGGATGTTGGTCAAGTCTGTAATGATCCCCGAATTATTAGATAGCTTTTCCGCCATCGCACACAAAAAATCCCACACGAAGATCTATCAGGCCTTCGCGGGGCCTCGTCTGGTGTTTCAAAGAGGGACCACTCCCCGGGGTTAAACTCCACCCTTTGAATCAATGCCACCTTCTCTAGGTAATTCAAAACACTTTTCATTTGGGGAGCCCTGCGCAAGTGGACCGAGTTGTAGGCCTGCAACAATTTGGCCCGAGTGTTCACCACCACCAAGGCCCAGTGCCTAACCTCACTAACCTCCAGAAGTTGTACCGGGAATAACAACAGTTCGTACACAAGGCAACTTCACTCACGCGTCTCCTGGTAGCTCGGATGCCACCCTTTGCCCAGTCTCCAAAGTACTCAGTGTCAAAAGCCCAGGCTGAGGGCACTTCACGATAATACCTACTTTGGCGCTCTAGGAGCCTTAAGTAGGCGTTAATTACCAGTCGATCAATACAATCCTTATTGTACAGCGCAACCAGCTCAACACTACCAATTTTTATTATAGGCCTTAAGGTAGCCATGCTAAGATGCGCAGGGTATGGCGTGAAGCAAGAATGGGGGAATTATGATACTGTGCACAAGCGAAACACTACAAAGCAAAAGCGGAACCTGCAAGCAAGAGAAATTAATCAATTTTATATGAAATAGTGATAAAACTATGCTATCCACCAACTATGTACAGCAAACTAAATACTAGTGAAAGGAAAATTTAACTATTGGGACGATCTATGATTAGTCAACTGTGTAGAATTATTTATAGGTACAGAATGCGATCATTAAAACACTAAATGAGGATTTAAGCGAGGCTAACAAAATAGTAAAACAGCTAAAGAGCCATAACACTCAGCTTGAAACTATGTTATTAAAAAAAGAGGAAACTATAATAATGCTAGAAAGAAAGATAGAACTATTAAGTGATGAAACTAAAAACGACTCTAACAGACTGCGAGCTTTGAGATCCAATGCAGTGGATCTGCAACATAGCCGCCCTCTTACATACAGCACCCCTGTTTCTGGGGATAAAACAAACAGTAGATGGAGCTCTGAAAAAAATAAAAATAAATCCTTTGCTATGGCTGTTAAGGGAAATAACTCGTCTAGGGTAAATTCTGATAAACAGACTAAAAACATGAAACCCACTTTTATACAAAACCGTTTTGAAGTTTTAAGTATTGATGAGGAGGAAACGCCTGAGGTCACAATTGCTGCAATACATAATGTACAAACTGATAAGTGTGAAACAAAAATTAAGAAAATGCTGATCTGTGCCGATAGCCATGGCAGAGATTTAGCTTGGAACATCAACAAATCACAACATGAGTATGAAGCAATAGGCTATGTTAAACCAGGTGGAAGAACAAAACAGGTACTAGATAAGAGGAATATTGAGGAAGCTAGTCTCAACAAAGATGATGCCTTGGTATTACTCTGTGGCACTAATGATGTTGCGAGTAACGAAGCAGATGAAGTTATTGATGGCATTACTTCGACACTGGACACGATTAAACAGACAAGAGTATTGTTAGTGGATTTGCCTAACAGGTATGACTTACCGGACTGGTCTTGTGTTAACAAAGAAGTAAGAAAAACTAACCAGCGATTAAAAGAACTTAGTGAAAAATACAGCAATGTCATCTTGGTGGAAGCGAGCAATGCTGGAAGACATTCGCACACACGTCAGGGTCTTCACCTAAACCAGCAAGGGAAAAAATGGCTCTCTGAAAAGATATCTGAGGCTGTGACGGCAAGGAAGACGGAAAATCATCCAGCGAGTCCAAATGAAGAACAACCTCTCCCACCTGGCACCGAGTCTTTGTTGGGAAACGACTCACCACCAACACTAGACCGTCAACCATAGAACTCTCACCAACAAACTTTAGTATTTATCACTGTAATGTCCGGTCAATGAGAAATAAGTTAAATTTAATAGATGTTTTTTTAAGTAGTTTAAGATGTGATATTTTAACGATAAATGAGCACTGGTTGTTTGAAGAAGAATCCCGTTTGTATATGCCTGCTGGGTACAACTTGGGTAATATTTGTGCTAGGGATAACTCACTGAATAGAGGGGGTGGAAGTGTTATTTTTGTAAAGCATGGGATTGAGGTTCAAGCTATAGATGTGAAACAATTCTATTGTGACAGCATTTTTGAAGTTACTGCCATTTTGTTACCTAATGATAATGTAGTTGTTTCCACTTTGTATAGAACTCCTGATTCTAATATTAGTATGTTTTTTAATCTATTTGAATCGTATTTGTTACACTTATATGGTAAATTTTCTGGGTCGAAGCATATTATTTCAGCTGATTTTAATATAGACATTTTGTCAAAATCACATGAAAGAGAATCATTTTTGAATTTATTGCGATCTTTTGACATGTATTGGTTGAATGAGGAACCGACTAGGGGGGGGAAATGCATAGATAATATTGTAAGTAATTTTAATAGAAAGTAAACAATTTGTTGTGTAATAGAACCTCATTTATCGGATCATGCGGGGGTATATGCTCAATTTAAAGAAATTTCTGTGGAAAGTGTGATGCCTAACAATGTTTTGACTAAGAAAGTCAGAGAACTGACACCTGAAGCACTTTTCAATTTAAAAAGTAAATTGTCCCAAATTGACTGGACGCAGTTATGTAGTATAAGAGATGTAAATATAGCTTTCAATCATTTTAATTTATTGTTGACAAATTCATATAATGAATGCTGTAGAGTTAAGGAAGTTAAGGTGAAAACTAGAAAAAAGCCTGACTTAAAATGGTATACACCAGAATTGAAGAGCTTTAAAGTGTATGTAAATGCTTTTTATGATAGATATAAAAATAGCTTGGGCACAGAAAATGAAAATATCTTCAAACAAGAATATATAGATGTAAAAAAAAGGTACAAACACAAAGTTAACTATTGCAAAAAAGTTGCAAATGAAAAGTACATTTTAAATTCCTCAAATAAATGTAAAGCTGCGTGGGCTTTAATAAAAACTGAGTCAAATTGTAATGTCACTAAGCAAGAAAACTTATTAATTGATTCAGATACTTTTAATGACTATTTTGTTAATATTTTAAGTACCGGTAGTATAAATGTTGTTAGTGATAAGAATAAATCCCATGACAAGGCAGTAGAATTAGTAAATAATTTTGTCCTTGAAAGAAAAAAAGATTTGAATAAATATCTGGTTTGGCGAACAATTGAAGGTAAAGATGTGACTAAAGTTGTTACTAGCTTAAGTTCATCATGTAGTGAAGATTACTATGGTTTATCAAATAGAGTTCTAAAGGAAATATGTCAGGTGATAGTGACACCGTTGACTTTACTGTTTAATATGATCTTGGAACAGGGTATATATCCGCAAGCACTAAAAGTAACAAAAGTGATACCAGTCTATAAAAAGGGTGAAAAGTTGAGCCCATCTAGTTACCGACCAATATCTCTGGTTCCTATAATAAGTAAAGTTTTTGAATCCTGTATTAAGGCTCAACTTGATACATTTTTTGTAACTAATAATTTGTTTTGTGAGGAACAGTATGGTTTCATGCAAGGTAAAAATACAGTAAAAGCAGTAGAGAATGTGATAGAAACAGTGTTAGAAAACTTCGAAAATAAGCTGTTATCATCTGCCTTACTCATAGATCTTACTAAAGCTTTTGATTGCATGAATCATGAGCTACTGCTAGACAAACTGTTTCACTATGGTATCAGAGGTAAAGAACTTAATTTATTTAAATCATACTTGAGTGGTAGAGAACAAATGGTGGTACAGGGCAGTGATAAGTCTGGCTTTAGAACAATATTAATGGGTGTGCCTCAGGGATCAGTCCTTGGACCTCTTTTATTTATTATTGCTGTGAACGATTTTGCTTCAAATATTCCTTGTGCCACAGTGTTATATGCAGATGATACCACACTTCTTAACAGTAAAAAACACCTAGATGATCTAATAAGAACTGAGAACCAAGCCTTAGAAATAGCAATGGAATGGTTTCATTCTAATCTTTTAATTGTTAATGAAAAAAAGACTGAACAAATTATCTTTTCTTTGGACTTTTCTATTTATAAAGATGTGAAACCTGTTAAGTTGTTAGGTATTTATCTTGATAGTAGGTTAAGTTGGGAAACTCATGTCGAGCAGTTGTGTAGAAAACTGTCTAGAGTAATTCACCTTCTTAGAAAGTTGAAAGATTGTGTAACCAAAAACATGCTGATAACTGCCTATTATGCTTTTTTTCATTCTCACTTAAAGTATGGCATAACTTTATGGGGCAACTCGTGTAGTGCATTAGAGGCTTTTAAGTGGCAAAAAAGAGCTGTAAGAGTCATTACAAATGTTTCAGATAGGGAGTCATGTGTTCCTTTATTCAAAGAGCTTAAAATAATGACTCTTCCAAATTTGTACATATATTGCTGCCTGATGGATGTTAAGAATTCTATTTGTAAATTGTCTGTTAGAAAAGAAATACATGACTATCAAACGAGGAAAAACTATCTTCTTAACTTAATGTCTGTACGGTTGGAAAAAACAAGAAACAGTCATGTTTATATGAAAATTAAATTATTTAATAAACTGCCAGAAAACATGTGGAATATAACTTCAAAACAGTTTGAAAATAAGATTAAAATATGGTTAAGAGAACATATTTTTTATACTGTTGATGAATTTTTAGCTTGTGACATTAGTACTTTAAGAATTTAAATTGGATAATTGTTTGGATTTTATATTAATTGTTTGTTATGTCATTCCCTGGTGTTTTTATATTTTGTTATTGTTTTTATCTATAAATTAATATTCTATTTTTCAATGTACCTTTTACTTAGAATAGGCTATTTACATACATTATATGCTTGTGACTTTGTCAATTGCACACATGTGTTTAAAGACAATAAAAATCTTTGACTTTGACTTTTAGGTTAGTCGCCAATCTGACGCTCCTGGAGTGCCTTTAAATCTTTAACATGAGCAGTTTGCTTTTTCCTGGAACCAGACAATTGAACCCCATACATGTTGTAACCCTTTTTATGGATAATAACAAATGGTCCTTCATATTTTGGGGACAATTTCGTGGCCACGGCATTAGCTTTAGACGATAAAATGTGAGTCTGTTTTAAGACTTGTTGGCCAACCGCATATTGTACGGCTTCGCAGATTATTATACGTAGCTAGAGATGAAAACGCGTTTTGCAAGTTTCTCTGAGTTGCAAAATGCTCAGCTGTTGCTGTCCGGTATAGAGCCCTAAAACATTGCCTTCGCTCATGGTGTAATTCAACAGGAGTTATTTCACCCCTGTCACTAGCAACCTCAAATAAGGGACCGCGGATCCCCTTAGGCACCCTTAGCTCCCGACCATAACACAACATGGCAGGCGTGTACTTGGTAGACTCGTGCACCGCCGTATTCATAGCGTACACGATTTCTTTCAAATTCTCGTCCCAGGTTTGCTGAGAACTCTTAATACTTTGCGCCACTAGGGTTTCAAGTTTTAATTGCCTGATTGTGCCTCTCAATAGAGTTGGACTGGGGACTGTTTGGGGCTGTATTTTGACAGGTTATGTCCCAGTCCTTTGCAAGCTCCTGGAATACGCGAGCACCAAATTGAGTGCCACTATTTCTACGATAAGCACTTCAGGAGACCCATGTCGCAATAAGACCAGTTCCGTAAATTTCTGGGCTACTTGCACGGCGGTGGCACTTCTAAGTGGCACCATTTCAGTCCACTTACTATACTGATCTTGGAAGGCTATAAACATGTTGCCCATTTTTGAGTGCGGTAGGGGTCCCATAAGATCTGCCGAAACCGTGTGCCAAGGCCCACCGGGAGGGCGAAAATGCATAACTCTGGCCAGCTTTGTTTATTCGACCTTAAACCTTTGGCATGTAGCACAACTTCTAACATAAGCCCGGACGTCATTCCGCCAGCCTGGCCAGAAGTAACTCTCTCCAGTTCGTTTGACTGTTTTCTTAAAGCTGAAATGACAGGCAGTAAGGGAGTCATGGGTTCCAACCAATACCCTTTCTCGGTCCTCTACTCGAACGCAAAGCTTCCCACATTCCTTCGGTTCGCTGTAGGGCACTTTCCGCCTAAACAATTTATATAACTTATTGTCCTGAATAGTGAATCTATTGTTGGAAACTGGATTTCTGGCTACCTTTGCAAAAAGACGGTCATACCATTTATCCACGGACTCTGTAACACTGTCATGGGGCTGTTTCGCCACCTGACTCAGGGTGTTCATGTCCACGGGACAAGCCGACACGTCAAGGTCGTCAGTAGTTAAACCCACGACTGGAAAACGCAACAATACGACAATGCTTCAGCTACATAGTTGTACGCCCCTTTCCTATACTCTACATAATTTTGTTGGAGGTCGAGGACATTTAAATAATTTACTTTGATGTTGTACGAAACCAAATTTAATTTACTAATCATCTCAATGCCTAAAGTGACATCACATGTCAATGAGGGCAAGCAAACCGCCTTAATCTTCTGAAGCGTACCATCAACGATACCCTCAAACTCATAAACTGCCGGTAACATTTCCCTCTCTAATTTAAAATTGAATCGAGGTCCAATTTGGGACCTTACAGTATTTCTATAACACCGTGTTTCGAAGTTAAGCATTTTAAAATGTAAGCTATATATCAATTAAACACATGTTGTTTTATTAGTGATTATTATTTGACGTATAAGGGATAAAAATAAGGTTAACATATTCCATAGAGCCACTACCAATTATTGCTTTCTAACATCAACACAGCTCATGTTTGTAATACAGCGTTCTTTTCTAACTATGTTATTATTTTCCCAGATGCAATTAGAAGAATGTTTCCTCAATGGGCAGTCCACATCTTTCCGCTCAACTGTTGAGATGATAGTAGACCGAGTATCCTCCTGCTGTATCAAACACATCTGTAGCCATGTTATAGCACCAGCAAAGGACAAGTTTTCACAGGCAATCAACCAGCGTAAAGAAGAATTTAAGTCGACTAGCAAAAAACAAGTAGGGCAATTTACTTTTTATTATTTTTCATTTTAGTTGTTACCACAAATACTTGAACAGAACCGAGAAGATCATAAAAATAAACAAATGACGTTGCTGGCCCGTAAATTAACATGATTTAACTTTGCTTAAATGGAATTGTCGAATCATATATTAATGGTTAGTATAGGATTCGGGCTAGCAAAATCATTTGTTTTATGTTTATTATATTACTAGCTGTGTGCCCGTTCTACGCACAGGGAAAATGTGATCGGAAATGTTTGCGATATTTGTAAACAACCTTTAATGTAAACATATCAGTGACAGCTAGAAAAAATAATCTTGATCCGAACAGCTGTTCGTTATTTCATTGATGATTAAGTGATGAACATTAGACATTGGGAGAAAACTTGACAAAAATCGCACAAATTCGGGTTTTTAAACGTCCGTTGTTTTATATAAAAAGTAGTGACGCCATATTTTAATGGCTAAAGACAATCTCGCCAATCCAGTGAATACATTAAAATTATTTGGATCTTGATAGGTACTCTAGTTTTTCAGGAGAAGGCCGCGTAAAATGGCTCTTGGGCCGTAACAGACACGAAGACAGACAGAAATTTAGATGAGACTTGTTTCGGTTTGTTTAATGTATAAAACGTAAAAATAACCTAAAAGTTTATGATTCTGAGCAATGTACAGACAAAACTCTAATTTTATTTATATAGATTATTATGTTTAGTATAATAATAGGGGGAGCGAGCTTGTGTAGTGGTTATAATGAACTTTTAGATACTGAATTAGAAATCACATTTATATGAACCAGCTGGAGCCAATTTCTTTTATTCTTAAAGAAAGTAATTGATTAAACCATTCACAGAGTGTGCTACAGTCTCAAATGATATTTTAAAATGTTTTGTTTTTATTATCTCGCTTTCTTGTCCGGTACAAACTTTGCAATCAATTTTATTCTAACTTCCCGATGAGCTAGAGACTTGAAACTTGAAACATAGCTCACAAATGGAAGACAATGCAATATTATATCATTTAATTTTCATATTTCCCTTGGGCTACGCCCCATGGGCTTGTTTTTATTTACTCGCTTTCTTGCAAATTTTGATACTTCCCGATGAGCTAGAGACTTGAAACTTTAAACATAGCTCACAAATGGATGACAATGCAATATTATATAACTTAATTTTCATATTTCCCTTGGGCTACACCCCATGGGCTTCCAAATTTTTCATGTTTACATTTTGAAAGAATGTAAATAAATCAATGAATTTAAATCAGCTGTAAATACTTAAATTTGACAGTTCGAAGAGCAGAGGTTAAGAGGTACAAGTTCTGCTTCTGAGATATTCTAGAAATATAACACAAGCGTTTCACAGTAAATATAAAACATTTGATTACTGATAATAAGATTTTGGTTATGTATTAACAGGCTATATAAAATAGATTTAACCACATTAAAGACTAAAAAGTAGAAAATAGTTTATAAATAAAAATACTTTTTAAGAATGCCACGTTTTTAAACGCTTTAAAAAGTAGACAATAGTTTATAAATATATTGAGAGAATAAATACTTGTAAGATTTAAAACGAAAACCGTGGGACGCATGCAATAGATCATAATAGTTCAATAGGTGAGTTAATTGTAAATTAGCATGCGCTCCACATTTTTCGTTTTAAATCTTACAAGTATTTATTCTCTCAACATACTTATAAATTATTGTCTACTTTTTAGTGCGTTTAAAAACGTAGCATTCTTAACAAGTATTTTATTTCTAAATTATTATCCCTTAATTTTAGCGAATTCCCCGTACAGTATCGGGAATACCCTAGGTCTCATAGTAAGACCTGGACCCATAGTCCAGGATCTGAAGGGGGTTGAGTATGCATGGAAAGCCTGACACAATTTTATTTTTGATTGTTGTTATAGGCGCACAATGGTGATCATGAAAACGCATGTTGTTGCCCCCAACGTGGTCGACATGCCCGGGGGGAGAGGGGAATATGGTGGGGGCTTGTTTTACTAAAATGCTTATAACTTAAGAACCATTTTAGATAGAACACTGGAATAAATGCCATTTTGCTCATAAAATTGACCTTCAAAAATTATTATGTTTAAATCCATATCTACGTATTTTTTTTGTTTTTTTTTGTTTTTTTTTTTAACATATTACTACACTGAAACTAATATCTTCAAGAAACAGTGTTTTAAAAAAGTCCCGGAAGGGCTTAGTATTTTTTAACTAACATAGATACGGTAGCACAGTTTTGAATCTAGATATTTATCATTAAAACCTACCGTTGTAAATTTTCATCTCCTTCAGGGGGAAGGTCCACAACGAGTAAGTAGAAAAGTCTTTAATGTAAGTATGGGTTGATATGCCCATACAATTAAAGGTCTTTACTAGTAAAATACAATGCTGTGAATTTGAACTCAAACGGACAACCAAGTCAAATATGACAGCTACCTATTTAAAGATGCCTTGAATTTGCATTGCTATAAGCTACCTCCTCAGGGAGGGCCGCCCGCTAGAAGTAGGAAGAAAATCATAAACGTAAGCATCGGTTGATATGCATATCATATTAAAGGTCTTAATTAGTAGAATACAATGCCACAAATTTGAGCTCAACATAACAACTGAGTAAAAAATGGCATTAAAAGATTCCATTAAAGATTCTTTTAAAAGAATCTAGGAAGATTCCATTAAAGATATTAAAAGATTCTAGATTCAAAATGGCAAATTCAAGATATCTTTGAACGGCTTCCATTTTTGTCTTTTTGAGTTAAAATTTACTGCATTGTATTTTACTAGTAAAGACCTTTAATTTCATGGGCATATCAACCTATACTTACATTAAATATTTCTTCTTACTCTTTGTGGGCCGTCCTGTCCCCCTGGAGAGGAGGAAAATTGATAATTGGTTTTAAAAGGTTTTGATGATAAATATCTAGACACAAAATTGTTCCACTGTATCTATTTTGGTTAAAAAAAATTAAGGCGTTCCGGGACTTTTTAACACAATACAGGGTGGCCAAAAAGTCCCTTTACGCAATATTGCAGTATGTAATACACTGTTACAAATACGACTGATCAGCAAATATTTGTACGTGAGTAGTAAAGTAACAGTGGGGGGAGAGAATGAAGCATCACTCTCCCTTCCCAACGACCACCACAGCCCTAGGACGCGGCGACACCCAGTAGAGACTCTCACCCCAGAAATGCTGAAACGAATGAGCTGATGAACTTTGATTTGAGTCAAGCTTTGCCTAGACAATGGAGGTATGCATGCCGATGTTTTAGACTAAAAATTATGTTCACTTGGTATAATCCACAATAAATTTCTGATTAAAATAGATTTCTATGGTTTTAATCTACACCAATTGAATTTACCTTTAGTGTACAGAGACTTTTTGGCCACCCTGTATATTGAAGACTTTAGCTGAAGTATAAAATAATATGTTGTTCTAAAAAAAACCTATATACGGATTTAAACATAATGACATTTTAAGAATGTTATACTTTTAATAGTAAATTGGCATTTATTTCAATATTCTATCTAAAATGGTTCTCGAGTTACAAGCGTTTTAGTAAACGGCGCCCCCCACCATTTCCCCCCCTCTCCAAGGGGATGTCGACCACGCTGGGGGGGGCGACAACATTCGTTTTCATGATCACTATGGTGCCTATAACAACAATCAGGAATAAAATTGCGTCAGGCTTTCCATGCATTTAACCATCTTCAGATCCTGAACTACCAGGACTGATTTGGTTTTTTTTTCAATGTCCCTAAAGGCCAAAAACACCATCCGTTCAAGTTCATATATATATGTAGCCTACAGTATGTGTCTGACAGTAGTAGACTTGATAGACGCAGACATTGTATAATGTATACCTTGTTTGTTTGTGCCAGATGGAGGTGTGGATATCAGACCAATGCCAGCTGACTGCAGTAGAGGTAGAGGCTGCAGTGACTGATCACTGTGAGGTCAAGGTCGGATCAGTCCTGGGTCTGCTGTTGGGTCCAGACTTGATAGGCCCAGACATTGTATACCTTGTTTGTTTGTGCCAGATGGAGGTGTGGATATCAGACCAATGCCAGCTGACTGCAGTAGAGGTAGAGGCTGCAGTGACTGATCACTGTGAGGTCAAGGTCGGATCAGTCCTGAGTCTGCTGTTGGGTCCAGACTTGATAGGCCCAGACATTGTATACCTTGTTTGTTTGTGCCAGATGGAGGTGTGGATATCAGACCAATGCCAGCTGACTGCAGTAGAGGTAGAGGCTGCAGTGACTGATCACTGTGAGGTCAAGGTCGGATCAGTCCTGGGTCTGCTGTTGGGTCCGGACTTGACTGACCCGACCTTGTGTAGGACCACTCACGCCATCTGTGCACGTCGCTGTAGGGAGCGTATTGTTAATTGGCTCAACTCTCACATCAAGCTGACAGGTATACAAACAATATGATTAATATTACAGTAGAGTCTCGCAAACTCGGCACTCGATAACCCGGCAGTCTGGATAACTCGGCCATCACCTGGCTCAGATAGTTAGTGATTTTTTGAGTCTGAGTTAAACATGAGCTCAAGCCAGCTCAAGTCGAATCATTCACAACTCTTACCAAGGATTTGTTTACAATATCTGATGACTTAATACTGACTTGTAAGTTGTAATATAAATATAAATATAAAAAAGGCGGTTAAAAAGCTTTAAAATTGTATTGTTCTTATTTACACCCTAGTTCCCGATAACCCAGCATTTCACAAACTCGGCACCCTTCCAGTCCACATTACGCCGAGTTTGCGGATCTCTACTGTAATACAGTATATCACTTCAACTGATTTTATTTTTAATCCGTCAAGTTGTTTGGATACGGTTGTAAAATATTTCCCAAGTGCTATGGTAAATCTTATAAACTACATCTGGTGTTAATTTGCAGAAAACCCTTTTTTTGTATTCTTTTAGTTTCTGGATAAAACAAGAGTACAACATTTAGATTCTTATACAATGAATCTATACATTACTTACATTCAACATTTTCTTCAAATTTTGCATATTATTGCTTCATGTAACACAAAAAATATCCCAAAAAAGACGTCAAGCATAATTTTGAGGTTAGGGTCCTTCCACAATGCTACACTACAGTTAATATAGTTATCCTCTTCCGTGTCACTAAATCTAAGCCCTATACCACACTACACTGTTAAAAAAGCATTGACGCAGTAAGATAACAAAATGGCCGATCGGAAAACTAACTGCATGAAAATGATGTACCAATATATGTGGCCCAGCCACCTCAACCTTATACTCTTTACCACTCCCACAATATCTGGTTCCCTATATAATTCCCTCAACTCCCTAGTTTTTCTTATTCTCCATGAGTCTTTAATTGGTCCAAAAATCCTTCTCAATGCATTATTTTCAAAAATAATAAGAATAAGTCTTTTGTGGGATTTTTTGGTGAAAGGCCAAGTCTCTGAACCGTGTAGCACTACAGGTTGCACTATGGTTTTATACATTCTTATTTTGGTGGTTTTGACAGAAGTTTACTTTTCAATAATTTTATTAAGCTCCAATATAATTTTTCTGCTGTCGTGAGTCTGTTTTAGGGGTGTGCGAATAGTGATTTTCAACCTCAAGCCGAGCCGAGCCGAGCTTTTTCTAGCGTCACCTTATCTAAATTATTAAACTTTTTTTTCTTAAAAAAGTGCATAATAATAATGTTCAGTCAATTTTTAAATAAACACAATGTTATTTTAATATGTTTAAAAACATTGAGAATTGTCAAGACATCAAATAGTAGATAATCACGATAAGAACTGAACTGAACTAAATTAAGATGCAAGAAATAAAAGGATAATTGAATGCCTGATATGCAGTGCAGACTGAGACAATCAGATTGTCTTTCATAACAGAACAGCAATGCGACCTTGAATGACGACAAAACAACTAGCAAGACGATTACATTATTATGTATATTGTAACTACTACTATGAATATTTAATTCTATTTTGTATTAATAAATACAAAATAAATTTAAAAACACGTGATAATTCTTGTTGTTTTCCATGCACAAAATATTTTAGTTTTATCAATCGTATTAATCAAAAAAGAACATAGTTGGTTTGGATCCAAAAAGGTGGAGAGACAAGTAAAAAGTAAACTTATATATTAAAAAATATATAATTGACATATGGAGGAGTAGTGTAGTCATTTTGGGGGTTCTAGGACAGAGGAGGGAGGAGTGTAGACCACGTGGGTTGAGGTAGGTAACCTCACTTTGCCTAACCTAACCTAACCTTACAGGCAGAGACTGATCCTCTGATTTGGACGACTTTACAGAAACGACAACAGCTTTTGAATCTCATTTTATATAGGACCACCAATAGGTTCTCAACTGCACAAAAATGGCGCCGATTGCATCATTCGGTGCTCATGTTTTCACTAGAGGATTTGTATGAAGATGCAGTATTTCGATCTCAATGTATACTGACACGCCATTTGAAACTCACGTTCTAGGACAGAGGAGGGAGGAGTGTAGACCACGTGGGTTGAGGTAGGTCGGGAAGGGAGGTGTGTCCATGACGTCACATGTAAACAGAGGATGATCTTACAGACAGAGACTGATCCTCTGATTTGGATGACAATTTTTTTTTGTGTAGATATAAAGAACGTTAAATCAGTTCTCATTTGGCATACTTGTCGTACAATAGGATCTCACGGCTGAGATCGAAAACGACAACAGCTTTTGAATCTCATTTTATATAGGACCACCAATAGGTTCTCAACTGCACAAAAATGACGCCGATTGCAACGTTAAATCAGTTCTCATTTGGTATACTTGTCGTATAATAGGATCTCACGGTTGAGATCGAAAACGACAACAGCTTTTGAATCTCATTTTATATAGGACCACCAATAGGTTCTCAACTGCACAAAAATGGCGCCGATTGCATCATTCGGTGCTCATGTTTTCACTAGAGGATTTGTATGAAGATGCAGTATTTCGATCTCAATGTATACTGACACGCCATTTGAAACTCACGTTCTAGGACAGAGGAGGGAGGAGTGTAGACCACGTGGGTTGAGGTAGGTCGGGAAGGGAGGTGTGTCCATGACGTCACATGTAAACAGAGGATGATCTTACAGACAGAGACTGATCCTCTGATTTGGATGACAATTTTTTTTTGTGTAGATATAAAGAACGTTAAATCAGTTCTCATTTGGTATACTTGTCGTATAATAGGATCTCACGGCTGAGATCGAAAACGACAATAGCTTTTGAATCTCATTTTATATAGGACCACCAATAGGTTCTCAACTGCACAAAAATGACGCCGATTGCAACGTTAAATCAGTTCCCATTTGGTATACTTGTCGTATAATAGGATCTCACGGTTGAGATCGAAAACGACAACAGCTTTTGAATCTCATTTTATATAGGACCACCAATAGGTTCTCAACTGCACAAAAATGGCGTCGATTGCATCATTCGGTGCTCATGTTTTCACTAGAGGATTTGTATGAAGATGTAGTATTTCGATCTCAATGTATACTGACACGCCATTTGAAACTCATTGTTTTCATGTTGATTTTTACGTGTCTTCTGAGTGACTCAGCACGTGGTTCCGACCACGCCAATCCTTCGGAGGCGAAAAAATATTTTTTTGTGTTTTTCAGTTATTTTGCGTATTTTATTTCTGTTATATTAGTTTATTGTTGTAAACTCGATCTGACCATGGCTTTTGGGTATCAAAGCAAGTTTTTCATTGACACCGTTGTTGTAGTTTCTAATCATGACGTCTGTCAAAACGTTGTTGTACCTGCATGGGAGATACAATTTTCTTAGATTGCCACAAGGGTCTTCTTCGACAGTAGCAGTTACCGAGGGACCGTATCTCGTCACGACTCGCTGCAACTCCACTATTCTGTAGGGATGCTCATGTCGCAGCTCTTCGATTTTAGTGTATTTGGGTGCTTGGCACGCTTTAAGTAAATCTACCAATTGTGCCATGTCTCTCACTTATATAAATGTGCAGTTACATCACCTTGATTATGTTCCTTGATATGTCGTAGGCAAACGCGTTTTCAGAGACTACGATGACATATGCGGTAGTGCCTGAATCGGCCGATGGTGATGCGATTGCGTTTGTGAAATCGAATTCTATTTGAATGTCACTTCTAGAACGGTCTGTATTCATCGGATGAAGATGTGTGTCGACAACACACAGTGGGTAGTGTGAAATAAACTCGCTTGGGTCAATGATCATTGAGCTGTCATCGAAATTCACCTTACGATATCTCATGAATTGCTCGTAAATCACTCTCCAACGTCCCTCGAGGATTGCAGCGTTTTGTAGTTCTTGAGGGTAACGTTGACCATTTATTTTAACTGCAAAGTTTTTTATATTTTCGCTGTCAAATTGCGCCGGGTTCTTTTTCTGATCATTCGTGCGGTTAGTTTGAAAGCACATGATTACGAATCTAGGGTTGTATACGTTTCTATAAACGTTTGTAATGTCGAATGTGTACGTAGATCCGAACACACCCTTTTTGTCAATACATTGCCACTGATAATAGTTGTAGACCAACTCGTCTTTTTCACTAAGTTTTGTTAGACCATCGATTAGTTGGATTTTGCTAGTTGACGTATATTCCACTATGGGAACTCTGAGAACGAAGGAAGTGATTTTCACTTTGCCATCCTCAGGTTCGGTAGCTGCGGTACCGGTTCCTTTCCAATGGTATAGAGCATCGTTATCTTCAGCTCTTGTGAATACAATCTCGAATCCACCTTTGTACATGGGGTATCGCATGTGGTCAAAGAACCCTAACCCGAGATGCGCTAAGGTTCCAATTGCTTCGAACTTGCCACCACCAAGCGAGTATCTTGATGCGAACCCACAGTTTTGCAAAGCGGGTTTCATCGATTGAGGATAGTTTAGAATACTTTTGATAGTGCTTGTAATTCCCGGATGATCGACCACATCGATTGTTGTGTTGTGTTTTTTCAGTTCGATTCTTGTAAATAGGTATGGTATGAAATTGTCAATAAGGGCTATAGTGGCAGTCGCATCATATGCTTTACCATCGGATTTTTTTACTACCTCACCGCAGATGTGATATTGAATTGCTGAGTCGTAAAACGTGTCTCCGTGATCGAGTTTGAAGATTGTGTAATTGTTTGGTGTGTTGAAATTCAACTCGGATATCGGCATAACAGCTCGGTACTCGCTTTTCACCACTCCGGTGGAGAAACGTTCGTACAGTGCTTCCATTGTCTACAATGACTTAATAACACAGAAGAACAAAAAAAATATAAGCTAATTATTTTTATTTATTTTTTAATTACATGGTATATATATATATAGGCTTACTCATCGAACTCCTCTTCCATGTAAGCTTTGTGATCATCCAAAAACTGTTGTGAAACGATCTGGAATTTTTTAA